TTCACGCTCGCCCGGGACAGGCAGCCCGGGGACACGGGCGCTCTGGCTGCGGCAGGTGAAGGGTCCCGGGGTACAGGCAGCTCCTCCCCTCACCTAGTGCTTCTGCTACCTCCCTGGAGACTGCCCCGAACTGTTGAGCTGTCATGCTGCTGGGCACGCTGCTGCAGCGGCATGAGCCTTCCCTCAAAAGTGAAGATTTTTCTTGTGTTTCTGGAGCTTTCCAGCCCCCGCTTTGGTTTCACAGAGTTGTTTTCATTCACTGTGATGGATGAGCTCCTGAGCCGTTTCCCTGTGTGAAAGTGCAGCCTGACCACAAAACTGTGGGTGGCTGTGGGTGTGCAGCCTGCTGGCTGGAAGCTGGCCGCCTCTGTGGGCTCCTGCAGCTCCAGGGCTGGGGTGGGGGTCTCCGCCAAGCATCCCGAGAAGGCCCTTGAGCGCCTCGTGCCCCGAGCGGCGGGCCCTTCTGGTGTTGCGCGCCACGATGCGCTTCGCGGTGGCAGAGCGAACGCAGGCGGGCCACCGCAACCTGTCACTGACATAACGCTTTCTCCATAAACCGTTCCCACCGGGATGCGTACCGATTGCCATTATCATTTACTCACCTAGGTCATATTGTGCGATTACTTTGGAAGAAGCTGGAAGCCTCCACTTTCTTAAGAGGACGCATCATTAATAGCTGTGGATTAAAGGCAGTATTTATAAACGTGCATGACTGCAGCTTTAAAGAACCAATGCGAGTCTTGATAAATTTCCCTGTTATGATTTAATCTTTATTTTTCTTTTCATCCTTAACAGGATTCCATTGGTGAACCTGTAAAAAAAAAAATAATAATGGGTTACCTATACCTACCATTTCTGTTTACCAGTAGGAGACTCACAGAGCAGCATTCTATGGGCCAAATATATTTTTATAAAAATGAACACGCCTATAGGTAACTGCATTTTTCAAAGAGCGCGTTTTTTGGAGAAGAGAAAAAATGTACAAGCAAAGAATCCTATGAAGAAGGAGGAAACTGAGGAGAAAAAAGAGAAAAAGGACTGAACGTCTGGAGCTCGGGATATGGACTATGAATTTGAACCTGTGCCAATAATACCGTTATGTGCCATGTACTGATGCAAAAGACTTCGCAAGAAGCTGAAGCTAAGTCAATAACACATAGAAACGTTACAGAAAAGAGGGGTGGGGGGGCATCTCTTCTGACAGAGTCATTAATTCTGCTCAATATACATACATATTATATGTATATAGAAAATATATATACACACACAAACACTTTTTGTACTGTAGCAATTTTTGAAGATCTTAAATACTCATTTTTAAAGAAAATGTCATGGGCTAAAAATCTAATTTCTTTAACATGCATAATATGAACTAGATAAACTGATCTTTTCTACTTTGGCAGTTTGCCTTTCAAACCTATATGTGTATATATAGATAGACATATATACATATATGTGTGTGTGTGTATGTATAGACATATATATGTATGTATACATTATATATATATATAAATTTTTTTTTTGGAAATACATTTCCACTAGTGGATGCGTTATTGGACCTTAGTCACTGGGCAGTGGAGGGCTCCTGGGACTGGCTCTGAGCGCGTGGTAAGGGACAGTTTTCTGTCCCGCTCCTGTTTGGCAGGCTGCTGGCAAGAGCCAGAAGAGAGTCTTTCTGAAGGGAAGCAGAAATGTGGGCAGTCATTTGGTTACAGTGTCCTGTGGTTCTTCCAGCTCTGAAAGGATGGTTAATAGTTTTGAGGGCTGGTCTGAAGCAACAGCAGAGTGGAAACGTGTTTGCAACATAGCTAAAAATATGCATCTGGGCCAAATTCACAAAGTGCATTCCTAATATTACAGAAATCAGAAAAATAGCCAAATATAACCCCCAGATGAGAAAAATGGGAAGAAGAACCCATGAGCTCGACCATTCGGGTGCTCTCAGGTCCTGTCCTGCCGCTCGCATCTGGGAGTGCTCCCGTGACAGCTAGGAACTGCTGTGGCAGTCTGTATTGGGATGGCTGTTTTAAAATCACGTTTCCCAAATGTCCCGGCTGGGTGGGGTGACTCCTGCTCCACACAGACCTTGTGTGTTTGGGAAGGTGATTGACAGTTTTCTGATGCAGATTTGTTCCCAGAAGTACAACAAATAGGGTCCTCCCTTCCCATTATCTGAAACCGCGACTATAAATACACCAAGGAGATCCACACCTCGCTACGTTGTGCAGTCAGACGGAGGACACAGTCGTCCACAGCCCGCGTCCCTTCCGGTGGGGTTGGTGTGGAGTTGGGTGTGCCGAGCCCTGCGCTGAGCGTCTCTGTCACCCGCAGCCAGGTAGAGGCTGGCAGGGGCAGAGATGAAGTTTGCTGACAAAGTTTTTGAGCCTTTTTTAGACCACTGCATCACCTCAATGGAAAGAAAGAAGTCCTGAAAACCTCCGTTTCTTCCCTTTGTTTTAGAGAGCGCTGATCCTCTTCATATTTCTGTCATACCCAGGGCTGGCCAGGGACCAGTTTTAAGCATTGCTCAGTTTGTGCAGAACTTTCCATGGCTTGATGCTGGTGCATTTTCCTAACTTCAGTCTTACCTTGCCGAGGGAAGTTCCTAACTGACGCTTTGGGTACGTCACACTGTATCGCACAGACCAGTGTATGGATGATGGAGGGCAAACTTTGACTTGCTCACCAAAGAGCTACGTGACTGCTTGAACAAGTGAAATAAAAGCATCTGAAACTATCCTTGCCAGTTTTAAAGAATGACACCTTGACCTTTGACGTTTATTTTTTGTAAACTTTCAAAGGATGGGCTTCTGTTGGCACAGAGTTTCCTCAAAGACACATTTCAGGAGTCAGAGGTGGGTCTCGTCTTGGGAAACAAATTCTAAATGTTAGCATGTGAATATGCTATAAAAACTTCCTCACCCCTACTGTAGGATACAAAGAGAGTACTAGCTAATTCCCCTGTGACGCAGCCCAAAGGCCAACAAAGTCCACGGGAGCCTTTTCACCTGCCCTGGGGGCCTTAGCTAGGCTCTTTACTGGCAAGAAAGAGTATTGCTCACTGTCCACAATTACTGGGACCATTTAATAGCATTAAAAAAGGAATTGTATGTTTTGTGCAGTGGGCAAAAGTGATGGTTTCTGGGCTGCTGGTGAGGTTTCTGCAATAAGAAAATTAAAACTCAACATCTTGCATGGGAAGTACGCTTTGGCTGGTTCAGATGTAGTCTGTTGCTCTAGTAACCTGGTGTCTAGCCACAGTTTGCCGCAGTTTGCACAGTCTGCTGTTTCAAACATGTCCTGTTTGAAGCCTGGTTTTCCCGAAGCAGATCATGCCAAGATACAAGTTTGCAAAAAGATTTTAGGGACTTTTCTTCTCTCAAAAGTCACCTCATACCTAAAAGAGGGTACCTTCCCCACTTGACAATGATTTCTCAAACCCCACAACTATAATTTCACAGCTTCTGGTTTTTTTTTAAGTTGAAGCATCTAGGCCGCTTGGTTTATATGGTGTAGCATCACAAAATCTGCTTCATGTCAGATAGTGAAGTTTTTCATTTACATTGCTTCCTGGAGTGGAAATGACAGGAGAATTCAGACCAAAGTCCTCAAGTTGTTTTTGTAAACTGCCCTTCACAAATATTAATATTTTGTTAGAGTGATCCAGATATGCATTTCTACTAATCCCCTAATTATTCAGCTCCATTTCTTTATCTGAATGAATGTGCAATTCAAAAAAAAAGTAGAAACTTCTGGCATTATACAGTCACTTGTTTCTGTATCCTTTCCTCTCCTTTTCGGATGGAACCTAATTTTTGGAAGACGTTCTCAGAAGAAATCTTCCTTGCTAGACCTAATTATTACCTATGGATTTGAACGAAACATCTTTGAAGGCATTGGCAATATTCTCGGTGACTTTGATGAACTTTGAATAACATTTTGAGTCCTTTCTGCACAAGGATGTGCACAATTTCACTATCTGCTGGCCTTCAAAGCACTCTCCTTGTGACCTCTTACAACTGTGGTGCAAGCTCAGCCAGAAACCCGCAGTATGTTTCTATTAGAGGTAGCTGGTTTTTCTTCTAAGGCAAAACTCATAGCCTGCTGCAGGGGCTGTTTTTCATGAGCTCCGAGTTGGGCACGTGTGGTAACAGAGATGCACTTCCCAGGGCTGGGCTTTCGTAGTTGATTTGAACAGGGCTGGGTCTTGTTAGACTTCTGTTGCAGCGAAGTAGAGATCTGCTCTTTAGTGCTTCCCAAGGGCAAACTTGTAAACGGTGAGGTTTAACCCTGAGCAGGGGCCTGTCTGCTACTTAGGTCTGATTTCCAGCTCTTTTGAGGATTTGGATGGGCTGCGTCCCCTTGCTCCGTGCGAGGGAAAACTTCACGCTAAAGGAGCAAACTCCTTCAGCGTGGTCCTCCCTCAGGAAGGCGATGATGGGTGTTTATTCTGTGCAGTGTCCCCACCTTTTCGGCACGCCGCTCGGTGGCGAGCGGAGCGGAGCCTTTGTGCGGCCCGAGGTGGCTGCGCCCCAGCCCCACCGGCGCCCGCCCCTGCCTCCCGGCGAGGACCTCGCTCTGCCGCTCGGGGGCCCCAGGCCGTGGTGGAGCTTTCCCGTGCTCGGGAGAGAAGCTTTGCACTGCAGTAGAGTGCTTCGGAAATACTTCATTAAAAGTGTAATCTATCACCTTGTTTTGATTACTAATTAATTCTGCTAATCAGCATTATTATTATAATTTAGACGTGTGCAGTACTGATTCCACCCTCACTTCCTCCGGTAGAAACCTGTGTAACTCCACTGCAGTAAGCAAAGTTAAGCAGGGCTAGAGAAGGCTGAAGTGAGAGGAATCGGCTCCCGACAGACCTTTTACGCGCCACGGCCCCGGTTCCTCGTTCCTCACCGCGCAGGGATGTCACCGCTAACGCACACCCCGTTCTATGCAGTCCCGTGCACCAAGTGCTGCGCAAAGTACGTCCCGAGGCCCTGAGCACATCTCATGAAATACCTGAAAAGCAACACTTTGTTTAAGCAAGCAGTCGAACCAAAACTTGCACGAGTAATGTGATTTCTGAGTGACTACTTCAGTGCAATCTGTCGGTTCAGTATATTGGGGCTTTTGTATTTTACCTATGTAAATGGTGCAGCCCATGCAATTACTGATATTTGCTCCCATAGTAGTGGAATTTTCCTTCTTTGTTTCACATCTCTTGCATCCATCCACTCCCAGTTGTGGAATTGTGTGTGTTGTACTTTTCGCATTGATTTTTCTATTTATTTGTATCTGCTGGCTGCACTGAGTAGTTCTTGTGGGTATTCCGGTGTAATCTTGATAGCAATTTAACATCATAAAATATATCTCAACTCCCTCATTCCCGAATGTTTGAAGCATTGTTATGTATTTTTGCATCCGTAGAACCTGATGTCTGAGCTGGATTGTTCAGACTAAGATACGGCATGGTGCGGATGTGTGGGGGAGCGAAGGTGAACAAGAGAGGCCCCGTGCCATGAATTAACCATCCAACTAAGAAGCGCCCTGGGGGAAGCGGGGCAGAAAGAAGTGTGTGTGTGTGTGTGTATGTGTGTTTGGGAGAGAGAGAAAGAGAGAGGGAGAGAATCGAATAACTTTGACCTCAGATGACTTGAGCAGATTTCAGATGGCAGGAATTTTATGAGCTTTCCACATAATCTGCAAAAGGACACATTCTGGGCACTGAGCGACTGGCCAGCGGTGAACCAGAGAACAAAAGTACATGCACAATCTTCCCTTATTTATAAGGACCAACAGCACTTGCACTTTATCAGAGAAATCCTCACATCCCTATGCATGCCAAGCACACTGATAAAAGGAACAACTGCCAGTAGGAAAGGAAAGAAAAAGAACGAACCAGAGCTCCAAATACAGAGATTTACAAGGCAGGATTCTCGCATTCCAATGGGTTTTTTTTATAGTAAGTAAAAATGAACTGGTTCCCTGCTGTTGATGAAAGCCAAAAGTCCAAAAATACAGAGTCATATTTTAGTGGAATAGATCTGTTGAACAGACCTCTTACACTGATGGAGAAACAAGCAACCATGAACTTGCAGATATAACCTCCTGTTCAGGTTTGCCACATTCCTGCCACATCGTCTGGCCTCGAGGGTCTTTCGGGCGTAGCAGCAACAGGTTATCACGCTAAATGGGCTCCGCTGTTCTCCACCACTTAGCGGACAGAAGCTTCAGCCTGAGCTGGCAGTAATTGTGCCAGGTCCATTGACGCGAGCCAGCCCAAAGCTGCTTCGGCAGTAATGGGAGCCTTGGCAAATACTCATGTCATGAGTACTTTGAACTCACTGGAACTGCTTGCTTGAGCTGTGGGGTCTTGTTTGTGAGCCAGGACAAAAAAAGACTTGCACACGTTTGGATGATTAAGCCTTGAGAAAGGATTTCTCTATTGTCATGCTGAAGCAGAACTTACTTT